TCCCCCCCTTTAACCCCCCCCCTTTTTTTTTTCCCCCCCCCAAAATCCCCCCCCTTTTTTCCCCAAAACCCCCCTTTTTTCCCCCCCAAAAAAAAACCCCCCCTTTTTTTTTTTTTTTTTTAAAAAAAACCCCCGGTTTTTTTTTTTCCCCGGGAACCAAAACCCCCCCTTTTTTCCCTTTTCCAAAAAAACCCCCCCTTTTTGCTTTTTTTTCCCAAAAAAAAACCCCTTTTTCCCCCCTTTGGAAAACCCCCCTTTTTTTTTTTTGGGGCCAGATCAAACATTTCCCGCTATCCTCTCCCTTTTTAAAAAAAAAAACCCCCCCCTTTTTCCCCCTTTTCCCAAAAAAAAACCCCCCCCTCTCCCTTTTCCCCCCAAAAAAACCCCCAAAACCCCTTTTTTTAAAACCCCTTTTTCCCCCCCCTTTTTTTAAAAAAAAAAAAAGGGAAAACCCCCTTTCGGGTACCCTTTTTTTTCCCCCCCCCCCCCCCCTTTTCCCCCCCCCCCCCTTTTTTCCCCCCAAACCCCCCCCCCCCCTTTTTTTAAAAAAAGGGGCCCCCCCCCCCCCCTTTTTTTTTAAAACCGGGTCAAACCCCCCCCCCCTTTTTTTAAAAACCCAGATAAAACCCCCTTCCCTGCTTTCCTCTTTTTTAAAAAAGGGGAAAAAAATTTTTTTCCCTTTTTTAAAAAGGGACCGGCCCCCCTTTTTTTTGGGGATAAAATTTTAACCCCTTTTTTTAAAAAAAAAAAATTTCCCCTTTTCCCCGGGGGCCCCCCCCTTTTCCCCTTTTTTTTTTAAAAAAAAAAAATTTTTCCCCTTTTTTTTTCCCCCTTTTTTCCCCCCCAAAAAAATTTTTTTCCCCCCAAATTTCCCTTTTTTCCCCCTTTAAACCCCTTTAAACCCCTTTTTTTTTTAAAAAAAAAAACCCCCCCCCCCCTTTTTCCCGGGTTTTTAAAACCCCCCCCCTTTTTTTCCCCAAAAAACCCCCTTTAACCCCCCCCTTTAAAAAAAAGGAAAACCCCCTTTTTTTAAAAAGGCCAAAAAAAAACCCCCCCCTTTTCCAAAAACCCCCTTTAAAAAAAATTTTTTTTTTTTCCCCCCCCCCAAAAAATTTTTTTCCCCCCCCCCCCTTTTAAACCCCTTTGGTTTTCCCCAAACCTTTTTTGGTTTGGGGGCCCCCCTTTTTTTCCTTTTTTTCCCGGAAAAAAATTTTTTTTTTTTTTCCCCCCCAAAAAAAAAAAACCCCCCTTCCTTTTTTTCCGGAAGAAAAAACCCCCCCTTTTCTCTTTTCCTTTAAAGAGCCAGATAAAATTTTTCCCCCTTTTTCCCCCCCCAAAAAACCAGACCAGACCCCCTCCCCCCTTTTTTTTAAAAAAAACCCCCCCCAAATTTCCTTTTTTGGAAAAAAAAAAACCCCCCCCAACCCCCCTTTCCCCCCCCTTTTCCCCTTTTTTTTTTTTAAAAAAAGCCCCCCCTTTTCCCTTTTTTCCCCCAAAGAAAAAAAATTTTTTTCCCCTTTTTTTTTAAAAAAAACCCCCTTTTTCAAATTTTTTTTAAAAAAAAAACCCCCCCTTTTTTTTGAAAAAAACCCCCCCCTTTTCCTTTTAAAAAAAAACCCAAAAACCCTTTTTTTTTTAAAAACCAAAAACCCCCTTTGCTTTCCTTTTGGGGGGAAAAAACCCCCCCCTTTCCCTTTTAAAGGGAAAAAACCCCTTTTTTTCCCCCCCTTTGGGGGAAAAACCCTTCCTCCCCTTCCCCCTTTCCAAAAAAAACCCCCGGGTTCCCCCCTTTTTCCCCCGGGAAAAACCCCTTTAAACCCTTTTTTTTAAAAATTTTTAAAAAAAAACCCCCCCCCAAACCCCCTTTTCCTTTTTCCCCCCCCAAAAAATTTTTTTTTTTTTCCTTTAAAAAAACCCCCCCCTTTAAAAAAAAAACCCCCCTTTTTTTTCCCCCCAAAAAAACCCCCCCCTTTTCCTTTTTTTCCCCCAAAAAATTTCCCCTTCCCCTTTTTTTTTAAAAAAAAAAAACCCCCCCCCTTTTTTTCCCGGGGGAAAAACCCCCTTTTTCCCTTTTTAAAAGGGGCCAGATAAAACCCCTTTTCCCGTTTCTTTTTTAAAAGGGGGGGCCCCCTTTTTTTTTTTTTTTTCCCAAAAATTTCCCCCCTTTTTTTGGGGGCCCCCCCCCCCTTTTTTGGGAAACCCCTTTTTTTGGGGCCCCAAAAAAAAAAACCCCCCTTTTCAAACCCCCCCCGGGGGCCCCCTTTTTTCCCCCCCCAAAAAAAAACCCCTTTTTTTTTTTTAAAAAATTTTTTTTTGAAAAAAAAAGGGCCCCCCTTTTCGGGGTTTTTTTCCCCCCCCCCCTTTTTTTTTTAAAAAATTTTAAAAAAAAACCCCCCCTTTTTCCCTTTCCCCCAAAACCCCCCCTTTTTTTTCCCCCCCAAAAAACCCTTTTTTTTTTTTTTTTTTTAAAAAAAACCCCCCCCCCCTTTTTTAAAAATTTTAAAAGCCCCCCCCCCCCCCCCCTTTTTTAAAACCCCCCCTTTTAAATTTTTTTTTTTCCCCCTTTTCCCCCCCCTTTTTTTTCCCCCTTAAAACCCAAACCCTTTTTCCCCCCCAAAAACCCCCCCCTTCTTTTTTTTTCCAAGAAAACCCCCCTTTTTTTTCCCCTTTGTTTTTAAAAAAAACCCCCCCCCCCTTTTTTCCCCTGTTTTCCCCCCGGGGGGCCCGGGTTTTTTTAAACCCCCCCCCCCCTTTTTTAAAAAGGGTTTTTTTTTTTCCCCCCCTTTTTAAAACCGTTTCCCCCTTTTCCCCTTTTTTTTTTTTTAAAAAAACCCCCTTCCTTTTTTTTTTAAAAAAAACCCTTTTCCTTTTTTTTTTAAAACCCAAAAATTTTCCCCCCCCCCTTTTTTTGGGGGAAAAAAAACCCTTTTTTTCCCTTTTTTTTAAAAGAGCCAGAAAACCCCCCCCTTTTTTCCCTTTAAAAGCCCCCCCTTTTTTTTTTTTTTAAAAAGGGTTTAACCTTCTGTTTTTTAAAAAAAAAAACCCCCTTTTAATTTTTTTAAAAAAAAAACCCCCCCCCCCCTTTTTTTTTAAAAAAAAACCCCCCCTTTTCCCCCCTTTTTTTTTAAAAACCCTTCCCCCCCCAAATTTTTTTTAAAAAACCCCCCCCTTTCCCCTTTTCCCCCAAAAAAAATTTTTTTTTAAAACCCCCAAACCCAATTTTTAAAAAAAATTTTTTTGGGAAAACCCCCTTTAAAAAACCCCCCCCCCCCCTTTTTTTTTTTGGCCCCCCTTTTTTTAAAAATTTTTTTTGGCCCTTTTCCCCCTTTTTTTTTTAAATTTTTTTTTTAAAAAAAACCCCCTTTCCGGGTTTCCCCCCCCCCTTTCCCCCTTTTTTTTCCCCCCCCCCAAAAAAAAACCCCCCTTTTCCCCCGGTTTTTAAAAAAATTTTTTTTTTCTTTAACCAAAAAATTTTTTTTTTCCCCCCCCCAAAAACCCCCCCAAAACCCTTTTTTTTTGGGGAAAAAAACCCCCCCTTTTTTTTTGGCCCTTTAAAACCCCCAAACCTTCCTTTTTTTTTTTTAAAAAACCCCCCTTTTTTGAAAACCCCCGGGGGTTTTCCCCCCCCCCTTTTTTTTTAAAAATCCCCCCTTTTTTAAACCCCCTTTCCCCTTTCAAAAATTTTTTTTGGGAAAAAACCCCCTTTTTCCCCTTTTTTTAAAGGGGAAAACCCTTTTTTTCCCCCCTTTTTTAAAAAAACCCCCCCCTTTTTCCTTTTTTTTCCCCTTTTTTTTCCCCCCTTTTTTTTTTTTTTAAAAAAAATTTTTTTCCCCTTTTTTTCCTTTTTTTTAAAACCCCCAAAACCCTTTTCCTTTTTTTTAAAAAAACCCCCCCTTTTTTCCCCTTTGCCCCCCGGGGAGAAAATTCCTTTTTTTTTTTAAAAAAACCCCCCTTTTTTTTTTTTAAAAAAAAAGGGAAAACCCCCCGGTTCCTTTTGCCCCCCCCAAAAAACCCCGGTTTTTTTTTTTAAAAAAAGGGGCCCCCCCCCTTTTTTTCCCCAAAAAAAAACCCCCCCAAACCCTTTTCCTTTTTTCCCCTTTAAAAAACCCCCCCCTTTTTTTCCCTTTTTAAACAAAAACCCCCTTTTTTTTTTCCCCCCCCTTTTTAAAAATTTTTCCTTTCCGGGCCCTTAAAATTTTTTTTGCCTTTGGGGGTTTTTTTTTTTTTTTTAAACCCTAAAAATTTTTTTTTTTAAAAAAAATTTTTTTTTTTCCCCTTTTCCCCCCTTTTTAAACCCCCCCCCCCCTTTTTTTCCCCCAAAAAAAAAACCCCCCCCCCCCTTTTTTTTTAAAAAAAACCCCCCCCTTCCCTTTTTTTTTTTTTCCCCCCTTTTTTTAAAAAAAAAAAACCCCCCCTTTTTTTTTTTTTTTTGGGGATAAAAACCCCCCCCCTTTTCCCCCTTTTTTTTTGGGCCCAGATTTTTTCCCCTTTTTTTTTTAAAAAAAAAACCCTTTTTTTTTTTAAAAAAAAAAACCCCCCTTTTTTTTTCCCCCCCCCTTTTTCCCCCTTTTAAAAAAAAAAAAACCCCCCGGGTTTCCCTTTGGGTTTTCCCCGGGTTTCCCTTTCCGGGAACCCCTTTTTTTAAAAACCCCCCCCCCCCCCCCCCCTTTTCCCCCTTTCCGGAAACCCCCCCCCCCTTTCCCCCCCCCAAATTTTTTTTTTTTTCCCCCCCCCCCCCAAAAAAATTTTTGGGAAATCCCTTTTTTCCCCCCAAAAATTTTTTTTTTAAAACCCCTTTTAAAACCCCCAAACCCTTCCTTTTTTTAAAAATTTTACCCCGCCCCCCTTTTTTCCCCCAAAAAACCCCCCCTTTTCCTTTTTTTTAAAAAAACCCCCGCCCCCCCTTTTTTTAAAAACCCCCAAAAGACCCCCCCCTGTTTTTTCCCCCCAAAGACCCCCCCCTTCCCCCCCTTTAACCCCCCCCTTTTTTTTTTTAAAAGCCCCTTTTTTTTTTTTTTCCCCCTTCCCTTCCTTTTTGGGAAAATTTTCCCCCTTTCCTTTAAAAACCCCCCCCGGGTTCCTTTTTTTTGGGGGGCCCCCCCCTTCCTTTTTTTTGGGAAAAAACCAAAAACCCCCTTTTTTTCCTTTTCCCCGGGGAAAAAACCCCTTTCCCTTTTTTTTTAAAAAACCAAATCCCCTTTTTTTTTTGGGGGCCCAAAATTTCCTTTTTTTCCCCCAAAACCAGAAAAAATTTTTTCCTTTTTTTTTTCCCCCCAAAAAAATTTTTTCCCCCCCCCCCAAAAAAAAATTTTTTCCCCAAATTTTAAAAAAAAGGGTTTTTCCCTTTTTAAAAAACCCAAAAAAACCCCCCCCCCCCTTTTTTAAAAAGGGGAAAAACCTTCCTGCCCCCCTTTCCAAGAGCCAGATAAATTTTTCCCCTTTTTTTTTTTTTAAAAAAAAAAATTTTTTTTCCCCCTTTAAAAAAAAAACCCTTTTTTTCCCTTTTTTAAAAAAAAATTTTTCCTTTTCTTTTTTTTTAAAAGACCCCAAAAAAAATTTTTTTTTTTTCCCCCCAAAAAATTTTTTTTTCCCCCCCCTTTTAAACCCCCCCCCCCCCCTTTTTTTTTTTTTTTTAAAAAAAAAAAAACCCCCCCTTCCCCCCCTTTAAAACCCCTTTTCCCCTTTTTTTTTTTTTTCCCAAAAAAATTTTCCTTTTTTTGGGGAAAAAACCCTTCCCTTTTTTTCCCCCCCCCTTTCCCCCCTTTTTTTGGGAAAAAAAAATTTAAATTTTTTTCCCTTTTTTCCCCCCAAAAAATTTTTTCCCCCCAAAAAAACCTTTTAAAAAACCCCCAAAAAAACCCCTTTTTTTTTTTCCCCCCCCCCCCCCCAAAAAAAAAAAATTTTTTTTTTTTTAAAAAAAAAAAAAACCCCTTTTGCTTTCCTCTTTTTTTTAAAAGGGAAAAACCCCTTCCTTTCCTCTTTTTTAAAAACCCTTCCCTTTCCTTTTTTTTGGGGGGAAAACCCCCCCCCCCCCTTTTTCCCGGGTTTAAAAACCCCCCTTTTTTAAACCCGTCCCCCAAAAACCCCTTTTTTCCGGGCCCCCCTTTAAAAACCCCTTCCCCCAAAAAATTTTCCCTTTTTTTCCCCCCCCTTTTTTTTTTTAAAACCCCCCCTTTTTTCCCCCCCTTTTTTTTTCCCCCCCCCCCCCCCCCCAAAACCCCCCCCCCCCCCGGAAACCCCCAAAAAATTTTTTTTCCCCCCGGGAAAAAAAATTTTTTTTTTAAAAAGGGGGTTTAAAGGGCCCAAAAAGCCCCCCCCCCTTTTTTAAAAAATTTTTTTCCCCCCCCCTTTTTTGGCCCCCCCCCCCCCCCTTTTTAAAAAATTTTCCCCCCCCCAAATCTTTTTAAAAACCCCAAAATTTTTGGGGCCCCTTCCCCAATCCCCCCAAAAACCCCTTTTTTAAAGGCCCCCAAAACCCTTTCCCCCCCCCTTTTTTTAAAGGGAAAAACCCCCCCCCCCTTTTTTTGGGGGCCCCCCCCCAAAAATTTTTCTCCCTTTGGGGGGGGTTTCCCTTTTTTTTCCCCCAAAAAAGGGGATAAACTTTTTTCCCCCAAAAAACCCCCCCCCCTTTTTTCCTTTTCAAAAAAAAAATTTTTTCCCTTTTTTTTTAAAAAACCCCCAAAAAATTTTTTTTAAAAAGGTTCCCCCCCCTTTTTTCCCCCCCTTTTAAAAAAAAAACCCCCTTTTTAAAACCCCTTTTTTTCCCCCCCCCCCTTTTTTTTTTTAAAAAAAAAGGGCCAAAAAACCCTTTGTTTTTTTTTCCCCCCCCCCCCCCCAAAAAATTTTTTTTTAAAAAACCCCCCCTTTTTTTTTTTCCCTTTTCCAAAAAAATTTTTTTTTTTTTAAAAACCCAAACCCCTTAAAATTTTTAAAAAAAAGGCCGGCCCCCCCCTCCTTTAAAAGGGGGTAAGCCCCCCCTTTTTTTAAAAAAAAAATTTTTCCTTTTTTTCCCCCAAAAAAAGGAAAAACCCTTTTTAAAAAATTTTTTTAAAAACCCCCCCCAAATTTTTCCCTTTTTTTTTAAAAAAAAAACCCCTTTGGGGTTTCCCCTTTTTTTAAACCCCCCCCAAAAAAACCCGGTTTAAAACCCCCCCCCCTTTTTTTTTAAAAAAAAAAACCCCCCTTTTTTTCCCCCCTTTGGGCCCCCCCCGGGGAAAAAAAAGGGGGGCCCCCCCTTTTTTTTGGGGCCCCCCCGGTTTTTTTTTTAAAAAAAACCCCCTTTTTTTTTTTTTTCCCTTTGGAAAATTTTTTTGGGGTTTTTTTTTTCCCCCCCCCCTTTTTTGGGGGGTTCTCCTTTTCCCCCGGGCCACCCCCCCCTTTTTTTTTTTTTCCGGGGAAAACCGGGCCCCTTTTTTTTTTTTTTTTTTAAAAAAAAATTTAAGTTAAAATTTTTTTTTTTTAAAAAAAAAAACCCCCCCCCCCCTTTTTAAAAAAACCCAAAAATTTTTAAACCCCCCCAATTTTTTTTTTAAAAAGGCCCCAAAAAAAAACCCCCCCCCTTTTTTTTGGGTTTTAAGGCCCAATAACCCCCCCCCCTTTTTTTTTAAAAGGGAAAAAAAAAACCCCCCCCCCCCTTTTTTTGGGGAAAAAACCCCCCCCCTTTTTTCCCTTTCCCCCAAAAACCCCCCCCTTCCCCCCCCCCCCTTTTTTCCCCTTTTTAAAAAAAGGTTTTTTTTTTTTTTGGGCCTTTCCCCCAAAACCCCCCCCAAAAACAAAAACCGTTTTTTTCCCTTTTTTTGGGTTTTCCAAGACCCCCGGTTTTTTTTTAAAAATTTTTTCCCCCTCCCTTATTTTTTTTGGGGAAAAAAAAATTTTTTTTTTTTAAAAAAAATTTTGGCCCCCCTTTTTTCCCCCCCCAAAAAAAAAACCCTTTCCTGCTTTCCCCTCCCTTTTTAAAAAAAAACCCCCCCCCCCCCCTTTTTTTAAAAACCCCCCCCCCAAAATTTTTTTAAAAAATTTTTAATTTTTTAAAACCCCCCAATTTCCCTTTTAAAAATTTTTTTTTTAAAAAAAAAAACCCCTTTCCCCTTTTTTTTTCCAAAAGAAAAAACCCTTTCCGGCCCCCTTTTTGGGCCCCAAAAAACCCCCCCCCCTTTTTGGGTTTTAAAAAATTTACCCCCTTTCCCCCCCCTTTTCCCCCCCCAAAAACCCCCAAAAAAAAACCCCAAAAAAATTTTTTCCCCCCCCAAAAAAAACCCCCCCCTTTTTTTTTTTTTCCCCCAAAAACCCCCCCCCCTTTTTTTTTTTTTTTTCCCCCCACCCCCGTTTTTTTTTAAAAAAAAACCCCCCCCCTTTTAAAAAAGGGGCCCGTTTTTTTCCCCCCAAAAAAACCCCCCCCCCAAAAAAACCCGCCAAAAAAATTTTTTTTTTTTAAAAAGGAAAACCCTTCCTGCTATCCTCTTTTTTAAAAACCAAGCCCCTTTTTTTAAAAATTTTTCCAAAAAAATTTTTTTCCTGAAATCCCCCAAAAAACCCCAAAAAAATTTTTGGGGTTTTTTTAAAAAAAACCCCGGGTTTTTTCCCCCCTTTTTTAAAAAAAAAAAATTTTTTTTTTAAAAAAAAAAATTTCCCACCCCCAAAAAAAAATTTTTCCCCCCCCCTTTTTTCCCCCCCTTTTTTTTTTTGGGAAAAAAATTTTTTTTTTTTAAATTTCCCCAAAACCCCCCCCCCCCAAAATTTAAAAAAAAAACCTTTTTTTTTTTTTTTTTCCCCCCTTTTTAAAAGGGCCCCCCTTTTTTTTTTTTTTAAAAATTCCCCCCTTTTTTTAAAGAAAATAAAACCCCCCCTTTCCTTTTTTTTAAAAAGACCCCCCCCTTTTTTTTTGGAAAAACCCCCCCCAAAAAAAAAACCCCCCCAAAAAACCTTTTTTTTTAAAAAAAAAAAAACCCCTTTCAAACCCCCCCTTTTTTTAAAAAAAACCCCCCTTTTTTCCCCCAAAAAAAATTTTTTTTTTTTTCCCCCAAGCCCCTTTTTGGAAAACCCCCCTTTTAAAAAAAAAAACCCCCCCCCCCTTTTCCGGGCCCAAAAGGGGCCCCTCCTTTTTCCCCCAAAAAAACCCCCCCTTTTTTTTTTTTAAAAAAAACCCCCCCCCTTTTTTCCTTTTTTAAAGAGCCAGATCAAACCCCCCCCCTTTTCCCTTTTTTTAAAAAAAAAGGTTTTTTCTTTTTTTTTAAAAAACCCCCCTTTTTCCCCCCCCAAAAACCCCCCAGCCCCCCCCCTTTAAAAAACCAAAAAAACCCCCCCCCCGGAAAACCCCCTTTTAAAAAACCCCCCGGAAAAAAAATTTTTTTGGGTTTTTTTTTAAAAAAAAAAAATTTTTTTTTTAAAAACCAAACCCCCTTTCCCCCCTTTTTTTTGGGGTTTAAACCCCTTTTTTTTTCCCCCCCTTTAAAAAAAAAAATTTTTGGGGTTTTTTTTTTGGGCCCCCCCCCTTTTTCCGGGAAAAAAGGGGGTTAACAAAAATTTTAAAATAAAGGGGGCCCCCCCCCCCAAACCGGGTTTTTTTCCCCCCCCCAAAAAAAAAGGGGGGTTTAAAAATTTTTTTTAAAATTTTTTTCCCCCCCCTTTTAAAAACCCCCCCTTTTTTTTTTTTTAAAAAACCCAGTTTGGAAACCCCCCCTTTTTTTTTTTAAAAAAAAAAAAATTTTTTTTTTTTTTTTGGGGCCCCCTATCCCCTTTTTTTTTTAAAAAAAGTTTTTGGGGGCCCCTTTTTTTCCCCCCCCCAAAAATTTAAAACCCCCCCAAAAAATTTTTTTTTAAAAAATTTTTAAACCCCCCCCCCCCCTTTTTTAAAAAAAAGGGCCCCCCCTTTTTTTAAAAAAAAAACCCCCCCTTTTTTTTTTAAAAAAAACCCCCCAAAAATTTTTTTTTTTTTTTTTTTTTCCCCAAAAAATTTAAAAAAAGGGGGGGGAAAATTTTTTTAAAAAAAAACCCCCCTTTTTTCCCCCAAAAAAGGGGAAAAACCCCCCCCTTTTTTCCCTTTTCCAAAAAAAAAAAAAATTTTTTTTTTTAAAAATTTTTTAATTTTTTGGGAAAAAAAAACCCCCCCTTTTTAAATTTAAAAACCTTTTTAAAAAAAGGGGCCCCTTTTTTTTGGGGAAAAAAATTTTTTTCCCCCCTTTTTT